CCCTCCTCCAGGCGTGACTGCAGCTGCGGGGGAGAGTTTTCGTTTCGAAGCCGAAGTGGGCGGGCTCGAGCTAACTAGATGTCCGAGGGGCTATGTGCGGTTGAAACTGGAAAGTTTAGGGAGGTGGAGGAGAAAGAAGAAAGGAGGGAGTGTCTCCGGGGCGCCCAGCACCAGCTGGTTCTTAACAGGATTAACAGCAGAGGCGGGCCGCTGACACACCTCCGCGCATGGCCACGCCTGTGAGGTGGAACCCTAGAATGTACATAAACCAGAATAGTGACAGTGTTAAAAGCTGGGATTATCTACAATTTTATATTTAAAATGCGTTTTCATATTTTTCTAAAAACGATTTTTTAATCTTCAGAGTTAATACTTTTTAAAAACTGCCTTTACTGTATAGTTTCCTAAAATTTATAAATAGCTTTCAGAAACCCAAATAAAGTGTAAAGAAATAGATGGTTATTTAAAAACAAAACCTCTGCTGAAGCCTTTTGTAAATTGAGGCATCTTTGTATAACTGCTACCTAGTTAACTTGTTTTAAAAGTGGGTTTTTGAATACTGGGTTTTCTTAAAATGTTAGAATGTCCTTAGGTGCAAAATCATGACTTGAATCATGCACCACCCCTCCTGCCTCCCTCAAAAATAAAGTAATTTTCCATCCAAAGATGTCTTTCAAGGATCGGACCCATGTGTAAGAGACTGGAAGACAGCGGTGCTCAGGGAGGCATCCACTCCCACTTCCCCTCCAAAACTGAGCTAGGAAGTTATGTGTAAAATTACATTCAGATTCATTGTGGGAAAATGCCAATGTTGTATGTTAGGACCTGAGTATCAGATGATCCAGCCAACTGAACAAAGTCTCTAGCAACATAAATGTGGTTGTACCTGAATTGCAACATTTTTTGGGTCCCTCAGTGACTGGATGATGGACAATAACAAGTTTTAAGACAGGCGATAATTATTAGAGGAAGAAAAATCAAATACAGGCCCATTTATTAAAGCTAGATTAACATTATAAATGATCAGAAAAGAACATTAAACTAAATCAGCAAACATAACGAGTATGTTTTATTATCACATTAAGACTTTCACACTCCAATTGTCTCTTTTTAATTCCTCATTACAGGCTATCCTCTCCCTAAAGAAGATAAGTATCTTGGCATAGTTTACCTATCAAATGCTTCCTCTTCTCCCCTACTATTATTTAAAGATTTTATTTACCTTTTCGAAAAAAAAAAAAGTGAATTTATTTCTTAATTATATAAACCCAGGAACTACCACTTGGTCTGGAGAACAGAAAAACGTACTCTGCGGTGAAAAAGAACAGCAAGAGTGATGCAGAGAGGACTTAGAGAAGTAAGGGAGCCAGAGCCTCTGGCCCTGGTTCTGCTCTATTCTCAAAGCCTGGAGGTATCATAAGCAAGTGCATGTTTTTCTTGCTAAAGGTATTTTGAATGTTTTCTTTTGCTTGCAATCAGAACTCCTTACCAGTGCAAACTTGATCTGGAAAGGTTCTTCCTTGGTTCTCAAATGATTTTTTCTTCTAACTGAAAGGTAATCATGGAATTTGGTCTCACTGTGTTCTGAGTCTGGGAGTGGAAGTGGGTGTGGCATCGTCTCCATAGCTGCCGTCAACCAAGGGCAATTCTGCCTAGTAATATAGGGGTGGTGGTCGCTGGGGCTGGGGTGATCTTAGGTGGAGCCCCAGGAAAATGGGCATGACAACCGCCCCTTTTTAATGGGTTTCTTGCCTTCAAGTTAATAGATCAGCCACAGACCTTACTATGAGAAAGACGCATGAAATTCTTTCCTCAAGAGCTGGTAGACAGATCTCTGAAGAACAGTTGAGTTGGAAAGGAACAGAGCTTTTAACTCTACCTCAATCATTCCTGTGAATTATACAAGGGAAGGGCCTTATAGATTTAGAGTATTATTTCCCACTCTTTAACTTCTTTTTTCTCTCTCCGGTTCCTCTCCTTTTTCGAAGCTCTCTTCCCTCAGCTCCTGGTGTTGCCCCCCTGGAGGAGGAACTCTTGTCTCCTCATCCCCATCTCAGCTCTTGCAAACTTGAGTGCCCCAAATCTCCCCCGCCAGTCAAAGCTGCTCCAGATGGGAATGGAGATGTGATCTGGGTTGTGGTTTAGGTTTTGATCCCGGTTCTGCCTTCTCAATATAAGCAAACTTGAATAAGATACTATTTAACTTCTTTGTGCTTCAGTTTCCTTATCAGCAAAATGGGAATAACAACACCACCACCACCTATCATATAGCTTCGTCATGAGAATTAAATGAGTTAACATGTAAAGCGTGGAGATCAGTAGCAGGCTTATGGTAAATGCTACCCACATTGCTGCTCTTCTTAGTATTGCTCTAAGTCCGTGAGTGAGGACACTCACTCCTCCTTGGCGTCTTGCCTCAGCAACCCCACTGCTCCCCTCTTGGTAGTTACTCTGGCACACACCTCCCTCTCTGGCAAATGAGCCTAACAAAACTATTTCATTTTATGCCAACTCTGGTTTTAAACCTATCTAGAATTAGGCTGTAAGCTCTTCAAAGGAAAGAAGTGTGTTTTGAGACTTGGGCAAGACCTTTATCAACTCTTCCCAAGACCAATGTCACAACTTTCCAAGTGGTCTGCCTCAAGGGCGGTGTTTTTCAAGCCACCCTCTGACCGGCTTCCTGCATTATATTCCTAAAGCACATGTCTCTTGCTCAGAAAAAAAAAAAAAAAAAAATCCAAAGATAGGTGATAGAATGCAAACTGTTGAGAATGAGATTTTTGGCATGTATTATTCATTAGAAATATATGCAAACCACATGAAATTTAAAATTTTCTAGAAGCCAAATTAAAAAAAAAGTAAAATAGAACAGCTGGAATTAATTTTAACGACATTTTATTTAAATATATACCCACTATATCTGAAATATCATTTCGATATGTAAGCAATTTTAAAAATTGAGATATTTTAAATTCTTTGTCTTTTGGTACTAAGTCTTTGCAAAACCTTGGTCTAGTTTTTTAACCTCTGTGAAATTCAGTTGCCTCATCTGAAAAATTAAAATAATAGTTCATAGGTTTATAGAAGATGAAAATGTGATAATGCATGTGAAGCCCATTGTATTTGTTTCCTATCGCTGCTGTAACAAATTACCACAGACTCAGTGGCTTAAAACGACACAAATTTATTATGGTACAGTTCAGGAGGTCTGATGTCCAAAACAGGCTAAAATTAAGCTGTTGTCTGACTTTGCCTCTTTCTTCCCATGTTAGGACCCTTGTGATTACATTGGGCCCATAGGGTTAATTCAGAAAAATCTCCCTATCTCAAGGTCTGTACCCTTAAGCACATCTGCAAAGTCCCTTTTGACATGTAAGGCAACATATTCACATCTCCTGGGGATCAGGATATGGGTGTATTTGGGGCCATTATTCTGCCTACTACACCCATGCATTAGCTCAGTGTTTGGCCACAGTCAGCTTTCAACAAATATTATCTTTTATTATTAGAAAACCTTGACTATAGTTCTTAATAACTGTATTATTTACATGTTTCTGTATTTACGTTCTGTGAATGTCACATCCCTAGTGCCTGGCACAATGCATTGCACATATTTACTCACTAACTTATACAGTTCATTTGTCAAGCTCCCTCTGTAAGTCACAGTTACTAAGCAACAGGGAATATAGTTCCCACTCTCATGAACCTGTACTGTCAAGTACAGGTTCATGAGAGTGGGATATAAGACAGGTGTTCAAATATTTATTATACCATGGATATAAGACAGGTGTTCAAATATTTATTAAATGAATTAATGAAGCAAAACAGCTTACACTTTTGAGGAACACATCAGTAGTTCTCATCACTTTCTCCCTGGAACACGCTTTCCCACTTTTGCTTGTCAAAACTTCCTTCAAGATCAGGTTCAAATACCAGTATTTGTTTTTTTATTTTTTTATTTTTAGGAAATGGATATTTAGGTTGTAATTGAACATGTTTCTTGCCTTGCTTTGTTAGCTAAGAAACTTATTGTGAAGTTGATGGCCTATTATCTAGCAACTATGTAAGACTGTATGGTTACTTACTGGGCACTCATCTCTAACCTTGGCTTTTGTTTTCTTTCATAATTTCTCTTCACTATAACTCCCTCCAGTACTTATCTCTTACAGTTTATGTATTCTTTCTAAGCTACCTTATATCATTTGTGAAACAAAGCATCCACAAAATGTATTATCCTTTTATGTTGGTCAGTCAGGTCCTTCGGAAGCAGATGCCAAGATAAAGTTAGAGGTGCAAGAGATCTGTTGGGGGTAGTACCTGTGAGAGATCAGGGGCAAGGAGCAGGAGTAGGCAAGGAGAGCCTTTCAGACTGCGATATGGATTTGGCATCTATGAAAGGACAGGCAGAAGGAAGAATGCCCAGGAAGGAGTGCTTCCTTGGGTGGAAATGGCCTCTAGCATCCCCGCCATGCTCTATCATTGATTGGTGCTGCCCAGGAAGGATGTGGCTTAGATGAAATGCTGTGGTGGATCCCACAGGTGCTGCACCTTGGAGGCTGTTAGTTACTTGCCTTCCTCCAGGTAGGGTCTCCCATGAAGGGAGATGTGAGTTGTGTGCCGCTACATCTCTACTGCACAATCCTTGAGGCATATACAGTTGTTGCTTTAGCAGCCTTGCTCATGTTACAAGTGTCCACTTACCATTTCATAAATTACCTCTTTTCATAGAACAAGTTGGTAATGTAATATTAATAGCATGATGTGATAGAAAAAGAGTTTAGATTTGAGAGACAGAAAGATCTGGATTCACATCTCAGAATTTTTTTCGCCAAATCTGGATTATATTAGCTAGAATATAATGCAAGTTATTTAACTTCTCAAAACCTTTAAAGTCATCTACTGAAATAAGATTATGTTTTTCCTTACAGAGTTGCTAGAATTAAATAAAATGCCTATAATTTGATGTCTGCCATTTAGGAGGTGTAAAATAAATGTTCTTCTCTTCCTTACTCTTCACTTTCAAATCATACTTTATCATGGACTAAGTGTTTTTGTAAATACTTCCTCATCTGATTTAGATTCGGCATTATTATTTCTAAGGAATTGTGACTAAGAAAGGGTAAGTGCCTGACTCAAGGTCACAGTCAAAACAGAGGCAAGGGTGTGACTTGAACCCAATCTTCTGGTTTCAATTTCAGCACTCCTTAGGTACTGTTGGCAGGTTTCAGGAAAATGTTTCATCATGCAGCTACCATTAGAAACACATGTAACCACGTGCAGGTGGAATTCAGTGACAAAGTGGACAGGGAGAAATGTTGGGGCTGAAAAATCTGAAAAAAAGCAGCAAATCAGTAACTATTGTAAATTATCAGAGAATGAAGAGAGTACTGCATATATTTTTCAAATACGCTTATTGATAAAATGTTTTTAGCCCTAAATCGAGCTAGAAAACTGCTTAAGAAAAATCGCTTTTCTTTGGCCTGAAAATGTAACAGGAAATTAAAGTTTCCTTCCAGATTCTCCAATGCTATTGTGATTCTGCTTTGTTTCCTGCCTAGTGTATTACTCTGTATTTGAAAATGGTCTTTGCGCACAGTATGCTTGAGCCAAATGCACGCCAAAGCCTCTCCCCTCTGCTGTCATAACTTACTTCTAAAATATTTTAAGTTTTGTTTTCGAGATGCTTGGGATATGGTTAAAAATAGCTTCTTCATAAATGAAGATAAGTTGAAGTTATTGTGAGTATACATTGCAGGGCTTTGTTGCTTTTATCTCTTTTATTACTAGAATATTAACGAGATAGTTCGTGCCAGTTAAGCCATCTCGATAGTTTCCCATTTCTTTTCCACTCCAATTTACACACTGGAGCTGATCAATTTGCCAGAAAAGTTAATGTATACAAAATAGTATTCTTTACAGTTTTCAAGTGCCTGTGACGTCTCCTATCTATGTGGCATCCTCTTTTTTTGGCATTTTCAAAGTTAGTTTCAATCCTGTGGCCTGTGAGTTTAAGTCAACCATGTTTACAATGGCCTCATCACATTCTCCCGTTTTCCTGGGGTGTACCTAGGAACAGTGTCCGTCTCTGTACCTACTTTGTGTTTTCTGGAAACATTTAAAGCCACTCCTGAGCATGTGCCTTCAGTTTTCTCCCATAGGCCTGGGCATGGAACGTGATTACTGTGATAGGTGTGGGCTTAAAAAAAAAAAAAAAAAGAGTCTGAGGCTGGGCAGGTCCTGAGAGGTAGAAGCTGGGGCTGAGGGGAAGCATGACATGTTCTGAAGAAAAACGCTGTTACCCAGCATCCTCATGGAAGCATGACATGTTCTGAAGAAAAACGCTGTGTAGTTCTGAAGGTTCTGGAATCTCTTTTGAACATAGGTAGTGTCCCAACTGGCTTTTTATCAAAAAGAAAAATGTGAGAGTATATAAATGTGTGAATGCCTTCAAGACATTTTTCAGCTTAAGGTTTTTCAGCTTAAGGTATCAGGGTTTCTTCACAAAATATTAATCCAAGGTATTCTAGAGGATGAAATTGAATGGCTCTCTCCTGTAACCCTTGGCTTGGAACCACCATAAGTGCCCTAAATGACAACAAATTACTTGTGCTTTCAAACACATTGGGCAATTAAAAATTGCTTGCAACTCTAAGGCACTGTCACACACTACAAAGGAAGTTTGCATAATCTCCTCTTGAGAGATTTTAAAAGAAAGTATTATTGTTTCTTTTTAGTGATTGTTCAGATGTATCTTCAGATGAAGGGGGATCTTCTGTACTGTTTCAAAGTCCTTCCTTGCTCATGTTTAATCAGTGGATCCACAAGTTGTGTCATAAAGACATCAGTCTTCACGATCTTCACTTTTTTTAAACAATAAAGTCTATAATAGTTAGATTACTCATTGTTCTATCATATTCTAGAATTTTCTATTTACATACTTTTTTTCTCATGCCTTTCTTTACATCTCTGCCCCTTAAAATGCTACTTATTCTTCAAAATGCAGCGTCACCAATCTCTTAGCTACACTTCTCCCAACAACAATAACAAAAACAAAAACCATTAATAACGATCTTTCCTAAATCTTGAAGCATTTGGCTTGGACATTTTAATGAAATTTATTAGAACATTCTCTAAATAGTTATCTTTGCTCAAATTTAGTCTTTTCTTAATTTAAGGTCCTTCAAGGCAGATTATTTTAAATTTCTCACAAATGCTTAACAAATATCATTAAAATAATTGATACTGACAAACTATACATTTCCAACATTGGAAATTCAGACTAAAACTTTTGTCAAGTCTCATAAAATAAATATAATCTGATTTTATGATGAGTCAGAAATAAAATAATTTCTGACAATTTCATGGGTTAACTACTAAAACAACAACAAAAAATTACCAAAACACATTGTAGTCTATAACAGATAAAGAGAAACCTAGCGATTTTGTCGATCACTTTATAAAAGTTCTAAAGGGTGCTGGTTAATATGGTGGGAGGTTGGTCAATTTCCTAAATGCTTTCTTCTGTCTTCTATCCGATATTTAAGACTCCAACATTGTGCTTCATTACTACTCTTATTTTCTCTAACAGTTATGCAAGTTATGATTGTGTTGTGTTAGTAAATTTCTTGCCAAGAACTGGATAGAATTTTAGACTTTAAAGATATTTAAATTTTGTTTCTGAAGCAATACCATACACAATTGTTAGACTTTATCACTGTATAAAAATGTACAGTGGTTTATTGACATGTACATTCCAATATGTTTACAGCTGCAAGATAATGAGGCACACTCAGTATTGCACTTCATTAAAATTTCAGGCTCAAACTTAACCTAGAAGTTTAAATGAAATTGCATTTGTAATTTAGTAATTCTTATAGAGGACAAACATTGATATCTTTATATACAGTGTGATACTTATTACATTTATATGCTGTCCTAACACAATTTTTTTTTTAAATAACAGTCTAGGAAATAAACCAGAATATTCCTCTTTTTATCCCCACCCGTGATGCAATTGTACAGGATTACAAAAAGGCAGTATACAATAAACAATGATTATTTTTCTTTTTTGCTTGAAAGCCAGCATCATTCTTAGTCCATGGGCATGGCGATTCTTTTATATCAATTATCTATACATGTCCAATGCTTCACAGGCCAATGACGGTAGTGGCCACATGCAAACACCTCACAAGTTTGATGTCTTGGCTCAAAAAAAAAATAAACCGAAATAATGAGGAAACTTTCCATAGCAAGAATTATGTACATGGTATTTGGCATCCTTCTTGCACTGTGAATGGTTCATTTTCATGGATGTAAAAATGGTCCCGTCCTTATCCTGAGCAGAGTTTAAACTTCACCACATCCGCTGGGGATGAAGGCAACTTTCTCTCTATCGACAAAGGAATCTGAGTGTTTTAAAAAGTGTGAGCATTTCTGCACACTCCACAGCCCAGAGCAAACTCCTCCCCAGTGGGTGGGTGAGCAACATGGAGTGGGCATTCAGTTCCTTCTAACTGTTTGCCTTTGGGACCTGTATAAATTTTGAAGGAGGCAAAAGAATATAATTTAAAAATATGTAATCACATAAACCTAATGTAAATAAAAATCACTGATAAGTTATTGACAGAAATAACGACTAATGGCTATGCAAATATAAAATTAAAATTTATTCTTCTAACCAAAAAAGTAAAAATGTTCACCATAAAAAACTCAACATACCAGATATATATGTAGAGGAAGGGGACATGATCCCTTACCCATAACAACTTGCCTGAAGATAACCACCAGGAGCTACAGATCTTTTTCTATTAATAAATGAATTATGTACATCATTTTAAAGCAAACTTAAAATATACAAAAAACTGTGGTTTTATATTCTTTAAAAGACTTGTTATCCCCATTTTGCAGATAAGCCAAAGTTAACTTAATTTTTCTGATTTATAAACCCTTCATCTTTCAAATAGTCACAGCAATAACAATAACAGGTTGCTGTGAAGATTAAGTATCCTAGCACCAAGATGGTCATCAATAAATGTTTTAGAAAGGAAGGGACAAAGAGAGGGACTATCTATTTCAAGTTCTTAATCTGGACTCTTGTTTTCAACCACATATTAAAAATTAAAATTAATGGGTTGATAGTGGTTAGAGAATCGGCCCCTGTCTTTCTAAGGAAACTGCATGGCCACCTTCCTTGCTGATTCCACTGTGGTATCTCCTTTAATTCTCTTCCAGTTCTCCAAATGAATGGATGAGTTAGAAGAATGTATAGAGCTAGCGGGGCACACCTCGATCTAAGTGTATGATCTTAGGCAAAGTATTTAGCCACTCTAGGCCTTGATTTTCCATGTGTGAATGTGGGAGATAATACTATCTATCTACCTTTTAGGTGAGAAAATACATGTGAAAATGCCCAGAATCAAGTTGGTTCCTTCCTGCTGCCATCTCCCTAACTCCTTTCCTGCTGTATTACTGTGATTCACAAATATTTAAAGGGGTAAGTCCTTTTTGGTGGCTGACCTGGATGATCGTGTGAATATGAGAGGAAAAGCCTTGTTTGGCCTGGCCTGTCCTCCTTCCCTCAGTGACTATCCTGCCACTGTGTTGTCTGCAACACTTGTTTCATTACCAGCTAACTTCCTTATTGTTTTTAGTGTTTTTTTGTTTGTGTGTGTATTTTTTTTTTTTTTTTAATGCAGAAGAACCTTTTTATCATTGAGTAAAATTTAGATTTTCCCTGATGACCTTGCTTACCCTTAAACTTTCTCAACCAGAAGCTGGTTAGCTATCTCCCAAGCTCCTCCATGTCATAAGGACAGGAGGCAAGACTGACTTTCCTGGTTCCCATTTATTTCCAGGCCACTAACCTACAACTGTCATTCAATAATCCCTGTCCCTTGAAGTTCAAATGACCTACAGCACTGCCTGTCCCCTTTTCACTCCCTTCATTTGCTCATCTCCTTCCTCTTGCTAATGATGGCTCATAGCTCTATTCCGGCCATAATTCTAAACATTCTAGCCTCACATTATTCTGACCTTGTTTCTTTCAATGTCTACTACTTCTATTTTAAAAAAATGTTTTTAGAGGTGTAACGCTGTGACAATTTTTATTTGACAGGAGCAAAGAGCAAAAAGTAGCCATACCTAAAAAAAAAAAAAAGATTTATCTTATCTTTGATTTTGAATAGATATCTTGAATAGTTTAAAAATCAAAATGTTAAAAAATTATATACAACAAGATGTCATGGTCTCCCTTTTCTACCCCATTTTCTCTGTTTCCCCCAATAGTTAACCAACTTAATGAAGTTCTTATCTACCTTTCTAGTATTTTTCATGCAAATATAAACAAACACAAATATACATATTCATTTCCTCCTTTCTTACAGAGGCAGAATTCTATATACACTTATATAATTTGATTTTTCATTTAATACTATCTCCTACAGAATTTTTATATCAGTACACAGAAACTCCATCTTCGGTCATCTTTTTTTTTTTAATTAAAATTTTTATTTATATTAGTTTTGGGTATAGAGTGCATTGGTTATACATTTACATAGTGTGTGAAGTGATTCCCCCATTACTCTAGCACCCATCTGGCTCTACACACAGCCATCACAATACCATTGACTCTATTCTCTACGCTGTACTCTACTATTTTGTAACTATGAATTTGTATTTCTTCATCCCTTCACCTTTTTCATCCAATCTCCCAACCCTCTCCCCTCTGGCAATCAGCAGATTACCTTCTGTATCTGTAAGTCTATTTTCATTTAGTTTATTTTTTTCATTCCTTATATTCCTCATATAAGTGAAATCATATGGTATTTATCCTTCTCTGACTTATTTTAGTCAGCATAATATCCTCTAGGTCCAACCATATCCTTGCAAATGGTAGGATTTAATTTTTTATGAATTAGTGTTTTGGTTTTCTTTGGATAAATACTCAGAAGAGCAATTGCTGGGTCTAAGGTAGTTCTATTTTTAATTTTTTGAGGAACCTCCAAACTGTTTTCCATAGTGGCTGTATCATTTTTCAATCCCACCAACAGTGTACGATGATTCTTCTCTTTTTAATGATGCTTATTACTTAGTGTTTAATCATCCCCCTACAGTACACGTCTATTGTTTATGAATTTTTATTATTACAAGCAATGCTGCAGTGAATAACCTTGTACATTTTCCCTTGTTTATTTTCTTCACATATGTAGGTCTATCCCCAGAAGTGGGATTCTTGAAGGGTAAATATATTTGCAATTTTGAGAGGCACCATAGGGTTCTACCATTTGCACTTTAATAAGCAATGGATGAGTGTGTGTTTCCTAGCTTTAACATCGTATATTGAGGTGTATGTACTTCTATATGTATTTTCACTAATTTCAGATATATCTATGTAAAATTCTCCTCTATGGTCACATTTACCTCTCCTTCCACTTCTCTCACCTCCATTAAGCCACCTCATTGTGATCACCAGCCTCCCAAGCTCTTCTAATTTTTCAGTCTCTTTTTGGTTTCATGTTGATTTTTTCTCAGCCTGACTTCCATGGACAATCATTTCTCTGGTATTCTCAGTGGCTTCCTTAATTTCCGTGGCTTTCTGATGCTCACTACACTGCCTATTCTCAGCCATTCTAGAGTAAGCCACCTGTCCATTTTATGGTACTGGTTCCAGGCTTAAAAAAAAACAACAAACCAACCACAAAATCCCTTTTAATGGTTCTATTATTCATTTATAATTTCAGACTTCACATGGCCCATTAGTACTGAACAGTGATCCTTTCATTAAACCTGAGCTGACTTCCTTCTCGTTCTCCAGGCAATCTGCTCCATCACAGCTCCTAACCTTTCACCATGGGGATCTTACTTCCTACTTCGTTCAGAAAGTCAGACGTTCACAAGAGCCTAGGATCCTCTTGGATTCTTTAGGATAGTGTGAACTGGGTTTGTGCCACTTGAAACAAAGCGTTCTCATGTGATCATGAAATAAGACTAAATACCATAGATATCATAATCATATTTAAAAATATTAAACACATACCTGCAGGACAGTGTGGTAGTTCTTCTTTAGGAATGCTAGTCATTCTTTGAAAATCATCATGACAAGCATTACAAAAATGTGTTGTTCCGAAACAGAAAAAGACAGCCACTGAACAGCAGTAGCGACATTTATATTCCAAGAAGTCTGTGCCATGTTTTGGACACATCTAGAGCAAAAGAAAAGAGATGGATACAAGATTATAGCGAGTCTATTTCAATTATACTTAAGCTATTCATTTATGTAGCTCAGTGATTTGTATTTAAGAGTATACAAAGCTCTTAAAAAGTTAATGATACACACATTTAAAAAATAATGGATAAAAATGTGGCTTTGCCCAAAAGATCTGGACAAAGTACCAAATTCTAACCCTAGCTTCATTATAACTAATCTTACATAATAAGCTACCACTTTCCCTATGAATTCTTCCTTGCCAGCCATATTAAAAAAATTAATAATATTTCGTCTCTCAATTTCATAGATGTACTATGAAGATTTGATTGAAAAGGGGAAAATCTAAATGTGTGACTGCAGGTTTAAGAAAATGAAATAAGCAATTTATTCTTTCTGTTGCAATTGCTAAAGGAATTATTTTTTCTACTTCTTTTTCTGAACACTGATTTTGTATCTAATTCGCTTATTAATTGTTGAAATGGGGTGGTTATTTTATGGAAGAAAAAATTATAAAATGGAAATCCCATCCAAAAGAAATAATATATATGAAAAAACTTGGAAAATTATACACTGCCGTACATCAGAAAACACTAAGGAAAAAGCCTGCTAGGCCATTCTCACCATACTGATGATATTTAAAACAGACAAACAAACAAACAAACAAGTTGAATATAATCAGTCTTTTCTAATTCTAAACTGTCTCTTCTAATAAAATGTGCTACCCACCTGAGCCCTGGACACGTCAGAACAGGCACCACAAATGAGCTCTCTGGGATCATAGTCATCTCCCTGTCCAGCCTCAGCATCACAGCGAGCTTCACCACCAAAATACGCCTAGGGAGAAAGAGCATTTAGATTACAGCAAGAAAAGAAAAAAAAACCTCTACCATGGGAGATGCAATTTGGGCGCAGTGGAAATAAGATCAAAACCACTGTTTATTAAACACTCCTTTGCAATGCCAAGTGGTATGCCCGTATAGCTGCCTGTAGGACAGATCAGGGTAAGAAATAAAGCTGCTGTACTTCAATTCTGGAATGGATTCATACAAACACTACTATCAAAGCAAAATAACAAAAGAATGTATAATATTCAAAATAAATGTCAAAAATGGGATATTAAGTAGTAAAGAGAAACTACTTTTTCAGGGCAAAGTTTAAATAGTTTTTCATCATTTTGAAATAGTAAATAACATATTACTTTCTAGTGCTTTGAAAAATATACTTAGAAATTCCAAAATTTTAATACCGTAGGAAAATATTCCTAAAGTAAGTATTAGTATAGAATTATAATCCTCATACTAACAGGAAAGAAAAAAATCATTTTAATCATACAAAAATTTATTTAAAAAAAGGTAAATTTTGTAATTCTGTTCAGAATGTTGCCTCTACTAATAAAGCTATATATTATATGCAAGAACTCAATAGAATCCAATACAGATACTTGAATAAATGAAATTATCATAACATATGATTTTTCTGAATTTGCTCTGAGCACAAAATAAATGAGGCCAATTATAATTGGAACAATCTACATGTATATGTCCCATAGCCAGGAAGTTATTTCCATAACTGAGGATAAACAAGAGGATTCAATATAAATCTATTATTTGTACTGGAAAAACAGGTCAAAAAACAGGCTCCATTGATACAGAGGTTATTAATGGTCATCTACCAACTAAATTTGGCCTGTGAAGTATTTCATTAGTCCTAGGGCCTATTCCAGTTGCTTTACTTTTCTAGGTTCCCTGCTTGGCCTCATGGACATTTGACTGCCATCCCGTGGTGACACAATATTAATTTATGATATTTAGTACATTAAACACACAGAAATAATATTTTATTATTTGTAACAATACAATTCACAAATATACACAACTGGTCTTTCCTTGCACGTTATGTATAGTTGTCTGCCTTTCTAGCTATCATCTACCTGTTTAGCCTTCCATTCATTATCTATATTTTCTTTTTGTTACTCTGGGAGACTATGCAAATTTCATTCATTGATTCTTTCATTCATTTATTCATTTTCTAATTAACTTAGTGTCTAATAAGTGCCAAATACTAGAGATAGAGAAATGAAAAAACGTAGTGTTTATCCTCATGGGACTTATCAAGTGGAGCAGAGAGACAAGTGAACTGGTAACCATAATGCAGAATAATGAGTGCTATGATAGATGTATGCAAGATATCAAAATCATGTGGTGGGGGTGATATGGAGTCATGGGCACATTACAGAGGAGGAGACACCTGACTAAATCTGAAAGTATAATCTGACAGATTTGGCTCTCCACCTGAGCAGAGGTGTATGAATGGGTGGCAGATGAGAGTAAAATACAGAGTAGGAGGTAGAGAAGAGCATTTCATGAAGAGAAATTGCCTAAGTGATGACATAGAGGTTCTGTAAGTGTGCACATATGGCCAAGTTTTGAGAATTGCAAGTTGTTCAATAATTTGTAGCATGGAGTGCAAATGGGAGCTTACTGGGAGATGAGACTGGAGAGTAAGAGGGCTACAGGATTATAAGCAGAACAATGACAAAATCAGATTTGAGATCCAGAAATATTAACCTACAAGTACGAGTGTTAAGTGTAAAGGAAGGCATGGAGGGGTTAGGGGCTCCACAAACAGAGCTCAGGAAGAAGGCTGCTCTAACTACTAAATAAAATGATTAGGTTGCTGAAGACATAATATATATACATAAAAAGAAAACAAACCTCAAGAGAGATTTGGAGACGGAATTGACAGGACTTTGTAAATAAAGACTGGAGATTGAAAGAGTCAAAGTTGATAAACATAATGCTGGACATTTGGACTTTGAAGTATCTGTGAGAAATCCAAATGTCTTGAAGGCAGCTGGATATTTGTATCTAAAGATAAAAAATTTTGGACGGTCAGCATGGTATAGGTGGTAGGAAAAGACATGGGTGTACAGCGGGGATCACCAAAGGGAAGGAGGTTATTAGGCTGGGGAAACAGATATGTAAGGGGCAGGGGGATGAAAAAGAACCCATGAGGGAGTTAAAGACAAATAGCCAGAACGGAAAGAGGATATCAAAAGAAAGGTTGTCCTGGAAGCCAAGGAAGAATTTAAGGAGGAAACAGTCAAGAATCAAGTAAGAGAATTTATTCAAGAACCAGTGGATTTGGCAAACAAGAGGTTATTATTGATGGGAAGTAGCTTGCGTACAGAAATATTTCATGTTTTGGAAATAGTCTGTATGAGTTAAAAAAAATCTAAAAACAAGTAAACAAATTCAACTTGAAACACAATACTAAGTTTTCTCATTTTTAACTTCAGATTTAAGATGTAAGAAAAATTGGAGATCATTATATAATTCGACTTCTTAATCACACAGGTAATCTCTAGTTCTTAAATATTCTCAGTATAATTTATAACATACCTTTCTGCATTTGTAGCAAACATAATATGCATATCTGTTCATGGCATAACCAGCTGGGTCATTATAAAATCTCACACCAGGAGTAGTGATAGCTTCACTCTTATGTAGACCTTCATACTCCAATCTCATTAATGCTTTTCTTCTGACATCCTCATAAAGTTCTTTTATTGGATCCAGCAGGTCTTTTAACACTATATGATTTATCTTGTTCTGAAATTTTAAAAAATGAATATTCTTTAACAGAATCATCCCTTATTAATTCAACAAACTGTGTGCACCAAGGTGCCAAGCACTATGCTAAGAGGTAACCAAGCATTTTTTAAAATAAAATGCCATTTAAAAATAATCTTGTAATGTCCTCCCAAGCCCACATTTTCCCAAGAGCAGGGAAAATGGTGGAGAGTGGGGCACAGAATATGAAAAAATTTCATTTTATTAACTTCATATTCCTGAGTATGGAATATATCTCCTACTGCTGTTCTGAGAATAAAAGGTTACCTTACTGCCACAAATAAGACACTCCTGTGTGTGTGTGTGCGCACATGCTAGTATACAACATCAGGTGGTAGAAATGAATAGATAGTATTTTCTATACAATGTTCATGTATCATTTCTTAAATATGACGTTTTTTTGTGGTACTACAGGAGACAGGAAAAGCAAACACAATTTTTTGATTGTTCCTGTCTAACTAAGCAATCAATGATTGTGCTAAGTCTTTCCATAATATACCCTATATAATAGTCTACAAATCTGAAGATGACAGGGAGAACTAAGTAGAAAAAAAAAAGAATAGATCATTATTAGCTCTCCAAAACAACTTGCTACTTTACTTCTTCCTATCTTTGTAGAGATGTGTCAAAAATTTTCTCCTTATTTTATCTGGGCTCTAAAGGAATCTGGCCTAATGGCACTGAAAGTTCAGATTTCACTTTTTAATTGCAGATATCAGTATCTACATGCACCATACACTTGTTTTTTTTGGTAGTCACCTATTGTCATGTCACATGATCTGAACTCTGAAAGTACCTTCAATGCATGATGATATCTAAATAAATTTTATGATGCAATGTCTAATTTAACTAGCTTTTAACTGTCAGTTACTATTTTGAAATGCATTATAATAGAGAGATCTAAAATATTCTCAGATACCACCTAGATAAGGAGAGCAGGAACTGATGAGGGCTGGTGGTAAAAAGTAGACTGGGAAGGCAGATGTTTATTCTGGAAGATGAAAGATAAAGAGAAAGATGAAAGTAAAGAGAAAGTAGATAATTTCTGATTCTTTCCATACCTTGCAGATGGGACAAGATATAAATCCAAATGTTATCCTTGGACCAAGCCATCTGTTTTCCAAAACTCGTCGACAGCACTGTAAGTGGAATACGTGACTACAATCGAGCTTAAATAAAGAAAAGAGAAGGAAATAAAGCAAATGTAATAATGATAGATACTTGAGTAACTGGCAGATTATTCAAACGTAAGGTGCTACTTAAAGCAGGTAAGAGAAAAATCAAGAAATTTAGTACAATGAAATTTCAGTACTTTTCTACTACTAATGGAGCATTATTAACTAGATCTTCAGCTTCTCCTAATTCTTTGCCATTTTGATTAATGCTACCTTACAGAGAGTAAACTAGGTTAGGGAAAATGCAAAATTACTCAGTTTGTAGCTCCCCGAAAGCAGAGGAAACTACTGACTTAAAGCTTTAAGACTGATTTTTGAGGATATTATCTTGGAATTACAAGAACTGGAAATATTAACAAACAAGTAAAAGTTAAAAAATAAGTATTTAGCAAAGAGTAATTTCTATAACATTACTAATATTATAGACATATGTATATATTATAAATAAAGGTATGTATCATTGTATCGTTAGGCATATATAACGTTACATAATGTTATAAAATGCCATTCTGGATTTTGAAAATTAAGAAGAGTAGCTCCTGAATAATCTAATTATTTTTCTTCCCTTATGAATATTTTATACATTCTATTGATTATATAGGCTCACATAAATCACAAATTAAAGCTAAATACACAAAATGGAAACAGAACATAAGAGACAGAATTTCTTTTTAATAAACTGGTAGGTATTAATGGGACATTTTCTCCCAGTGATACTCTAGACACATTCGATACTTTAATAGCTGAAACAACCTGAATGGCAGGTGCTGCTGAGAGCGCTTCAGTGAAACATATCATGCACATGTCATCAGCATCTTGCTTCAGTGTTGTGGCATTTTTGTCACAGCCATGTAGACAGGGCAGACAATGCTCTTCGTTCTTAACACCTCCACATGGATGGCCGCAAGGATGTGTCTTACTACAGGCTATCTTAGCATATTCCTGTTAAATGACAACAGCACACAAAATCTCAAAAAAGCACACATCCTGGTAATTATATCTATTATATTAATTTTCCAAGATATTTAACCACAAGAAATAATGACAAAGTGATTTTTATTCTTTGTTTTAATTAACTTAGTTTGAACTATTAAAAAATTCTATTTTTCTTTTAATGTGATTTTTAAAAATTTCACTCCACATAAAGAGAATGCTGATAAAAAAGTAAATTCCAATCGTAATCTATTTATTATCATGCATAGCCATGAAGCAAAAAAATTCCTGACAAGCAATCTCTCAATCACTACCCACCCCCTTGCCAAAATAAAGATTAAAAAAACATATAGGTATCTCTCACTATCTGAGTACTATCCAAATTCATGTTAATTAAATTGAAGAACCAAAAATATCTGGATAGCATGGAATGTATACAGATGTTCTGTACTAAAGAACTTTCAGATACATAAAGTTTCTTTTAGGGGAATAAATAAACAAAATATGTAAGAGGCAAAGGAAATACGGTCCATAAATTTTTAACTGTCCCTAGTACAAAAGCAAATGTTAAATATATATGATGATGGTAGTCAGGAAACACACAAAAAGAGCCTGGTTTGGGCTTCAGAGCTTTGTCTGATCCACTCTCCAGCTTTAATAAAGCATTTAACTCCCAACATGGGTAATACACTAATTTAGTGACGCTGAGGTTGTACTCTTATTTACATTAAGGTGTCGTGTGGGAATATGTGCTATCCTTACTGAAATACTCACCTGGCAATCTGCATCAGAACAAACACTGCCAACAGCAGATAACTCTGTTCCACTCCTAGAACCACAGAAGCGGCACGCTTCTGAGCTACTTGTGGTGGGTTTGCCTAGGTTCAAGGAGAAAAAAAGAAAACTCCTTCTTAAGAGCGTTTTCTACTTATTTTACTATAACTAATTAAAAACAAATAAACAAACAAGGAAACCAGGTTTGCATCAGTTGCCATCACTGGGAAATCAGCCCGGCAGTTTTACAACTGAAGGGCTGTAAGCTGCCGTAATTACAAATAAACAATTGCACCAAAAAAGGAATAAGAGACTAATGACCTGTCTAAAGCCAAATGAGTTATTAACTGATTTACTTATCTTTTTTCAGTAAAAAGAAATAGACTAGACTTCTAGTCAAGATAACAGGTTGAGCAGATATGGCAAGGCCCCCACTACAAAAGCACTATATCACATAAAATATAACAACAAAAATTAAATAAAAATACAGAGAAGAAAAGGAAAGCTTTAAGTACCTTTCCACAAGACAATATAAAAAGGCATAGGAGAAAACCTCATCAGAAAATATAAAACTTGAAAAAGAGAATTCCCACCCAAGGAACTAGAGATAATAAAGCAATCTGAAAAAGGAATTTAAATGTTTAAAATAAAGAAGGAACTGAATACATAAGAACAAGGACAGGAAAATACAATAAACAGGAAGATTTGAGAATACAGATGAAGCTCATTTTTAAATAGAGAAAAATTCTAATATAATAGTAATACATTGAATTCAGCAATATTTACAGAAAATGGTTTTTTAAAAGAATAATTTATATCATGAATACAATGATGGTTCAACATAAGAACATCTGTTAATGTTAGATAAAGCATGGGCAGATTATAGAAGAGAATCAGCCATGAGAAAAAAAGACCATGCTCTTGTAGCATGAAAAGTTACTCACATTTAGAGTTAAATTTGTTCAGGTTTATACTTACCTCAGACATCAGAAATTTGTGTCAGACAAATAGCAGACTACAGAGGTGCTAAAAATTGAGAATTTGTAAGATTAAATGTAACTCTAAGCTAGGAATATACCAGACTTACTCGAGGAAAAAATCAAAATGAAAACTACATATTTTGGAGATAAAAATGACTTGGTTACACAGCTGGTTAGTGATAAAATAGGTTTCCTGACTTTTAGTCTGATGTTCTTCTACCACAGAACATTGTCTAGTAAATATAATAATATAGACAGTGATTGGTGATGTCATAACCACTTATCAGAATACGTTCAGAATTATTCACATCAAATAATTAAATTAAACTAACATCAAGTTTAATCGTAATCAGCAGACACTGCTCAATCTTAAGTCCTTTTTTACCTGTGTGTTCTCGGAATTCCACCATTGCTTTCATTGTTTTAGAATCTGCTAGTGCCATCAACCAGAACAATTTGGTTCGACCACAACCTTCATGAAGGTCAACCTTTATAGCTTCTTCTTCTTCTTTGAAGACCTACAATATCATTAAAGGGAAATTATTTATCACTCTGAAAGGAGAGCATTAAATTTAATTATTCAATAATAATAGTTTTTATCTACAAAGCACTCTAAGAAAGTTCCAAATATTTCCAATCTTCTCTTTAATCTTTATGACAGCCCTCTCTCTATAAGTGTAGAAACTAAGTCTTAGAGAGGTTAAACAACTCGCTTGATTTACTCAGTTGATAAGTGAGACAGCTGGGAATCCCACCAACGTCTTTGAATCCAAAGTCCATTTTTTCCCATTACACCAAGTCTCCTTCCCATATTTATCTCAAAATTTACTGAATATATTTTATGTTTCAGATGCTGTTCTGTGTGTAAAGACAGAAGTCTTCACCTGTCTTTGATGAGTTTTGGTTCGCCGATGAAGATGAAGGAATCTGTCACAGTCAGTACATAAATTTCCACATACATTGCATAAAATGATTGCTGCAGTTTCACCATCATCATGGTTATCACACATGGGCTAAAATGAGACATTTCCATAGGTCACATTAGATTAACAAGGAAGCCTCAATATTCATATAAATTGAATGTAATTTACTTACAACAATAAGAGACAGTTATTCTGAAGTCTATTAAGAATTTAGCACTGAACATTAAACAGAATTATGGCTAGTATACTTAACTATAAAAATCCCTCAGAACTCCCAATTCAATGATTAATAAAATAAACATGTATACTTTACTTAGTGACTTAAGAATATTTCTCTCCATTATACTCAAATATTCCGTATGCTAAATGAACAAATTATTCATTTTTGAAACTTGAACATTAATAATAAAATGTTAAAAGAGCCTATATTAAGTCTTCTAGAGAATGCAAGGATATCTATTAAACCTACTTTAAGTACATTTGTGAATAAATGGTATGCCATATTGCCTCTCTTCTTGCCTTATTTCCTACCTACCTTAAGACTGATTACATTTTTAGTACAAAATCTAGATACAGAATCAAAGTCTGGCTTATAACAAATTTTCATATGATGTAAACACAGCTCAGAGAAGAGGAAAGCTCTTTTATAAAATTAAAACCCCTAATATACTATAAAGAGGGGACCCTTGTGTGATGAACTTGGATAACGTGACAATTTTTCAAGAGTTCCAATAATTGCATATTTTGACTTGCAGTATATTTTTTTTAAAGCTAAGCTAGAACTGATTATAAAGAAAAAACAAGATAATTCTATATAAAATAATTCTGATCTTACCATTTGTTTCTGTTGGCCATCCTTTCCCATCCATCTCCCTGAGGAAAGACGATCCACATGGTCCTGATCGAGAACGCACAGGGATGCTAGAGCAAGCCAGAGCTGTTGGAAGGAAAAGCTGTTACACTACTGGGTTTCTACGAAAGACATATATAAAATGGTGACTGACACATGCAAACAGTTCAGTGAATTGACAGCTGGATTTGAAACTTTGTACATACCCAGTGATACCAAAATTTTCTTGATGTGGCGCCAGGCACTAGGCTCACTGCTGTATGTGCCATGCACATAGTAATCACTCAATATTTACTCAATAAGTGTTGCTCTGATGAACCATCCTACTTTCTCTCTGATATACATCCCTAATGGCCTAGCACCATGCTTGGTGCACTTTTCCAGAAATAAGTAAATGTCTAACAAACTTTAGAAAATTGTCCTAAAAAAGAATTTAAAACTTTGAAACTTAAAGGGTAAGCTTTGGTAAGCTTTTGTTTTACAAAGAATGATATATGTCTTCATTACTGAAAAATATATTTAACTTTCACAACTCTAAGAAGTGTACATGACTATACTGGAAATGAAAAGAGAGGGAAAAAAAAGACCAGAAAAAGAAAAAATAATACAGAAGGAAAAGGGGGAGTGCAGAATGAAAGAAAAGAACACATTCATGGTAGGAAAGGGTTCCTGTGAATATTGCTTCAAATGTCACACTCACTAATGACAGTATAAATTGGCTTTTTCTGTACTAGGAAAATATAGTTTATCTTCTTTTTCAGATTTCCGGGGATTAACTTAAGCAACTTCCATGAGTGTTTACTTTTTCCTAGTGCTGTTATACTGCCCATCTCTTCTGGAAGCACATGGGACATGAATTTGATAGGTTAAAAATTCCTGTGTATGTCTCATCTGAAGCATGCAATCCCATGCTCTAAGAGATTCTGCTTTGCCCTGCCCTGGGCACAAAACTTTTGCTTTTAAAAAGATGTGTAAATCCAGTAAGTATGCAATAGGGCTCTACTTTAGGACAAGTGGGCCATACCAAAAGGAGTAGGAAGGAACTTGTCTTCCAAGGACCTTCAGTCTATCACAGCATAGTGCTCACAGACTTCTAGAGATTAAATTTACTATGAAGCTCCAGTAAATACACCATTAGAAAGACAGTACATTGATATAAAAGTCAATTTAGACTTTTCTAACAGGTATATCTTTAGCTTCCTAAATAATAACAAAAACAAGTGATAAAGAACACATAATAGGGAATAGTAATAACCACTATGCTTAATTCATAATTCTAAAAAGCCCTTCAAGCTTTTTCAATAAATAAAATATTTGGTAAAAAAATGTGGATCAAGCTGACTTATTGATTCAAATTCATTCAAACCTAGTACTGAAAAAGAACATGCAATGATACAAACCAAATGAAAAACCTACCCTAGTTGTTGCAATACATCTCACTGGAGATCGAAATTCTTCCTCCATCTTGGTCAAGGCGATGATAGTTTCCGCAATGGCATTTTTTGTCACTCGGGACCACGCTTCTGACAGATGACCCTATTGAGCAGGACGATAATTTAATAAGCAACCAGAAATGTATAATCAATCATAGTAGTAAATTCTATTTTCTTAAATAACATCACTCACCCAAAAGGAAAGATTTAGTGAAATTTTAGATCAAGGGGTATACTTTTTAAATAAAAATCCTTCACAATCCTATGAAAAATTCAACTTCTTACCACTATTTTGGTGATTCAAAAGAAAAGTAAAAAAAAAAATAGGTTCTCAATACTCCTTTTTTATTGAATTGAAGGGAATTTCCTTTCACACTGAGATAAAAGCATAAAAGAAATACTAAGGTGTCTATGCTTGAGAAATTCTGATTATGAAACCTTGTTACTTAATACGAATATTATATAGCTAAGCTAATTGCTTTAGATGAGTATTACTGAAGCCCAAGAGCATAAATGGGTTCAAATTACAACTACCTTAATTGGCTAACTTGATTTTTATTGAACACCAACCCTTTATTACTATAGAATTTAGGTGTTCCTAAACTTTTTTCCTAAATATTTTCAGCCAATGAACGTACTGAGAAAGCCTATTTGAGAACTGGAAAAAATTCTCTATTTCTCTGACTGAGGAAATGTCCATGGTGCTGGGAAAAGGGGTGGGGCTCCATGTTTCCAGAGCATCTCCCCTCGTCTCATAGCCACATATGATCAATCTTTTAAGAGGCAGCTCAAATTCTTCCTTCTCCTACTCTACCTCTCAGGAACCTATAATCCACAGTATCTTGCCCTCCTTAGGCTGGACTCCTAGAAAGAATGGAATGTGAGGAAAGCAACACTACGGAGCACCCAATAAAGGCTAGCCACTCTGATAAAAAATTTCCTTTCCTCCACACTCCCTGGTCTCTCTGGAAAGCCAACACCTAGAGACAGTGGTATAGGACATTAATAAAGAGAAGTAAGGCTTTATAAACCATGAGAACTGAGGAGGATGAGAAACTTTTGCTTTGAGGAACTCCTTTTTTCCCTTTGGGTTTTAAACTCAGGCTGTTTTTTAGGGTTCAAAGAATATATACTTATTATTTTTTAAGCTTTAAAGTCTTGGAAGACGTCAAGTAAATTAATTGGGAAGCTTGAAATAAACACAGTTTACACAAAGGACAAATCTATCACTAAATGAAAAGATAAATGGTGCAATAGTTAACCTACCAAACAAAGCCTTTAAGTAAGCAAAGTAACACTAATGCACTTCCATCGATTCAGCAGAATAAGCTACTTGTTTTGTTAATCATATTTCTACTGCACTTCATTGACATTAATGCTCAGGAGGATGGGAACTTACTGCTGCCATGTCCTTAATAAGTTTAATGATGATCTCTGAGATCTGGGTAGGAGTTGAGCCCTTCATCCACCAGTGACTTTCACCTCGTCGAATATAACTACAAAGAAAAGTTAGCATATGCAAACTAATCAGCGATAGTTACAAATGAATAAGATGAAACTGTTATTTCAGCAAGTAGTATTTTAATTTTTAAATCAGTCGATCAACTAAAGCATTTTTTTAAAAAATCAAACATTATCCATTATTTATTTTCTCAAGCTCAGGAGAGTAACAATTCTGATATCTGCTTCTTTTGAAATACTTCTGTTTATATATTATCTTTGTATGTATCTTCTAGAACAGTGCTATTCAAAGTATATCCGTAGACCATAAACTATTTGTTACCAGTCTACATAGTGATAATAAAGAGCTTGCAATAAAATATGTCAACTACGTCACTGAGAAAACTACTGTTTAGTTCAGCTGAAATTGTTTCTCCCCTAGTAATAATAGTCTAGATGGTGTTATTTGCTTAATATAGTGAATTGGCTCTTTTACTAGCATTATCTCAAATGTCTCTAATTTTTTGCAGTTACACACAATTCTGTAACAAACATCTTTGTATATATATCTTTGAACACATGTATGAACTTTTTTGAGGGAAATAGTTGTAGAAGTAGAATTGGGAGTCAAAGGATATACGTACTTTAAATGTAGTGATAAACTATCAAACTGACGTCCAAAAACACTGTAGCAAGTTACACCTGATATCATTAAAAAATGCCTATATCTTCACAATGCTGCCAGTGCAAAGACATTTTTCTATGCTGTAATCTACATTTCTCTGATAACCAGTGAATTTGTTTACCGGCATTTGTAATTTTTCTTCTCTGAACTAACTTTTCTTGTCATATATTTTTCTCTATCACTTGTCTTTTTCTCATTGACTTGTCATTCTTCTAATATTATGTATAACAATTCATTGTCTACTATATAGGTGTTAAATATTTTCTTCAAGTCAGTTGCATAAAACATTTTAATAATACAGTCTATCAGCTAATTTTCATTTTTAGGTAGCCAAATCTGTGAATCTTTTCCTCTCTGACTTCTGTGTTTTGTTTAAGGAGGTCTTCTTAAATTGAAGGTTACAAAAATATTCTTCTGTAATTTGTTACAGTAAAGTTTTAAAAGAAATATATATATATATATGCATATGTATTTGCATATATATATACACACACACACATATATGTATGTATATATATAGATATATACGTACATATATAAAGCTTTAATTGATCTCAAGTTTATTTTTGTTTATGATGTGAGGTAAGGGATTACAATTTCTTTTTTTTCTAATTCAAATTGACGTTTATTATATATATAGCATTCTTTTTTACATACAGGTCAAGTGTTTATGGCTTCTATTTGGTAAATAAGCAAACAAGGTGGAATTTGAAATCATGTCTTAATTCTCCAAAGAGTCGCTCATTCTTTTCTATTTTAGTATCAAAATAGCTACAATGACCAACCTGGAATTGAAAATCATTGGAAGGGTAACTGTGGTAACTCCTTTGCCCACGGTAGTACCAGCTGTTCCTGTGATGGTGGTTCCTTTGGCTTTTAGCTGTACTGTGAGTGCTTTGGCAATGCATCCTAGAAACATGTCCAAGATACCTAGCTTATTCCAATCTCCTTTCTCTGTTGAATGAATGATATCACTGATATCTGCTGGAGGGAGGGATTTCACTCCTATGATGCTGGCCAGACGGTTAGGGGTTACTTCAGGCAAAACTCGTCTTAGTAAAGAGGTTACCTGGTAAAAAAAATAAAAAGGAAGAATTCCATTTAAAGATTGGTATTTTAAAGTTTTCATTAAAAAAAAAAAAAAAATCTACCTGCCATTCTATGACTTCAAACGCTTTGAGAAGAACAGAAATATGATTTAAACACTATTTTTAATTTCTTAAGTGGTAATTACCACTTTAAGGCAGCAAGGAAAAAAAAGTCTTTTATTTGGTCAGGATTAAAAGAAATTACATTATATATCTCATGGCAATAAGACAATCAGTAGCCAGAATACTCTGTCACAACAGCACGTTAGTAAAATAAATTTTCCTCTTCCGTAGTCTCATTAAGATGAGTCAGAATAAAAAACATGGAGTTAAAATAAAACACAATCCAAAAACCAAGACATAACAAAATAAAATAAAAATCTATATTTAAGGCCTTACACTTTACTAGTTTAATTTTCTTAACGATGTTTCAAGTAAAAAAATAAGCCAAAAGGTAAGCGGCATGACCCATCAGTCACCTGTCTCTGGACTCGAGGTGACGCTGTGTGGAGCAGTGAGAAGAGATCTTGGAGCAGAGTTAGCTGCTGAGCCAGGTACTGCCGGCCCACGTTAGAGCCACTCAACGCTAGAACCATAGAGAGCAACTCAAAGCAGTAAGCGTCAGAGGAGGCATCTTCATCATTGGGCTGAGAATTGGCATTTTCTTTGCTTGAGATGGCATGTTCCCATTCTTCACGAACTCTGGTGGCTTCCATGCGAATAGCCTGGACTATGTGAGCACATACCTATTTAAAGGTAACACAGGTAATAAAAAGAAAATGTAAAAACATATTTGTAAGTCTGATTTACTACTCCTACTTAAAAAAAAATACAAGAATATCTGTTGTTACTCAGTTAATTCTCCATAATACCATTCTCTCAACTCCTCTTAAAAAACAATTAAGGAAAACTAGGGGAAGCGTTTAAAAATCTGAATATTTAAATCAACTACTATGTAGAAACTCCTTAAATACAAGTTACCAATGGCCCTACCTATGGTTTAAGACATCAAACAAAAAAAATGATTATATTTTATCACTTCTAAGGCACATTTTTCCCCGCATTATAACATTTCTATTCATGGGCTTTCCAATTGATGGCATTCACAATTTAATTAGCAGTAACTATTTCTTTTTAGTGATGTATAAAATAACAGCACATTTTACAACTCGTAGTGTCTATGATTCAATGAATTTCTCAAAAAGGTAAAGTACAAATAAATTCATATTATTTAAAGATTCAATGGTGTTAAAAGTTAAAATAATGGGCTAATTTAAAACCAATATTTCATTTGACTTTTGAAGGGCTAATTTTAGTTATGTAGGTATTCTATTATAGGAATAATGTAGCACTACTCCCCCATCTTCTTATAATTAAAAATATTAACACCCGTTTAGTTAACATTATAATTGTTCAGCAAAATCAACCAACCAACAACAACAAAAAAAAAAAAAGTGAGAAAAGGAACACAGGAAATATAAATGAATCTGATATAGCTGGACATTTGACACTAAAATTAAACAATCTACCTGAAAATAAAAAATAAAAAAGAGCAGTAAGGTTAGAAAGTTAACACTCATAACAAATCTTTAAAGTGATGCAGGTATGCCAATATACGCCTTCCTAGAAAAAGGCAGGACCTATAAAAGAGTCAGCATAAAAAAGCTTCTTTAAATTTTAGAAAACATTTTGTACCTTAAAAACAAACAAAAACTGATGAAGATAATGAAATGGCTATTAACCAACCTGTTTTTGTAAGTTATTTAATTTACTCCTGCTGGATATGATTCCAACCATATGTTCTTTCAGGTCAGCATCTGATGTTGCCTTTACATAGAAAAAGGAAAAAAGAAAAGAAGCAGGCTCTTTGAATAAAATTTATACATATGACATTTTAAAGTATCAAAAATAAACAAGTGGGACTACATCAAACTAAAAAGCTCCGTATAGCAAAGGAAACCATCAACAAAATGAAAAGGCAGCCTAATGAATGGGAGAAGATATCTGCAAATCGTATATCTGATAAGAGGCTAATATCAAAATATATAAAGAATTCATACAACTCAACAGTAAAAAGCAAACAATCTGATTAAAAAATAGGTAGAAGATCTGAACAGATGTTTTTCGAAAGAAGACATACAGTGGGTGCTCTACATTATTAATCATCGGGGAAATGCAAATCAAAACCACACTGAGATATTACCTTGCATCTGTTAGAATGGCTACTACTAAAAAGGCTAGAAATAACAAGTGTGGGTGAGGATGTGGAGAAAAGGGAACTCTTATGCGCTGTTGATGAAAATGTAAATTGGTACAGCCACCATGGAAAACAGTATGTAGGTTTCTCAAAAATTAAAAAATGGAACTACCAGATGATCCAGTAATCCCACTCTAAGTTTTTATTCAAAGAAATATATATATTTCTTTGAATAAAAACTTAGAGTGGGATTACTGGATCATCTGGTAGTTCCATTTTTTAATTTTTGAGAAACCTACATACTGTTTTCCATGGTGGCTGTACCAATTTACATTTGCATTATGCTAAGTAAAATAAATTCGAGAAGAAAAACAAATACTGAATTATTTCTCTTATATGTGAAACCTTTAAAAAATTATATATATTATATGTATACCTACACATACATATAAAATAAAGCTCTATATAAAGAAAACAGATTGGTAGTTGCCAAGGCTGGAAGGAGGGTGGGAAAAATGGAGGAACTGTTCTTGTTTATTTTGTGTTTAAATAAATTGAAAAAAAAGTATTCTGAGAAACAACTATGCAGGTATTTTTATAAGGTGAATGTATTCTGAACTGAGATCTATAACACTAAGAAGCTATGATTTGGTAGAAGAAGAGATAAAATACTTATATAAATATAACAGGAGAGAAACCATGAAGAGATGTCTAGAAATTACTCTGAAGGTTAATTGAGGGAAAACGGCTTTCATTTGAGGGAAAGCATACAGAAGGTTCATGGAGAGGACAGTATTTTTAAGCTGGACTACGAAGGACAGATAAAAGGGAGGAAGGAGAAGATATCTGATGGTGCGCAGCATAGTAAAAGATTAGGTTAATTTTGCAAATGCTAACATTTGAATATAATAGCCCAAAGCATAGAGATAATTTTGTTAACATACTAGACAGATCGCAGATGAATAATGAATTTGATAGTTCCTTTTTCCTCTTTCTCATTAAAGTAAAAATATTAACTGTATATAGCCTAATATCACATATCTATTAAAATACATAGCAATACACGGACTATTTTAATGAACGAAAGTAAGAAAATTATAAGGGAAAAGAAATATTTTTAGAATACAAATAAATACATTGTATACTTTTTCCTCTCCTTCAGGTGATGACAATAGTGCTTTTTCCTCTTGTTCTGGTGTAGGTTCAGCATCTCCAGAAATGAGCTTTCCAAATACCTGATGAAGACAGGGATGTGAGAAGGAATTAATGGCAGAAATTACCATTGTGAAAGCTAGAGGACTCATCAGCTGATTACCATGTTATTCCTGCTATACACCACTACTTTTCAGAAGTATGAATGAAACACAGGAGTTTAGGGTTATGAAAGGAAGAAAAAAATGGGCCACATCTTTAATTAGAGATTAGAGTTAGCAATTTCTAATAAGTTCTACAAAATATTTTGTTATCCTCTTGATGCTACTATTGAACTAATATAATCTGTGCAAGGATGTGTAAGAAGGGCACTCACTTGAGATGTAATAAGTCTGAATACTCGCAGAGTCTCAGCTTCACAGTTCCTCTGCTGGGCCACACTGGCTGAAATCTGGCCAGCAATTTTTGTGCTTTCGCCATCTTTCCAGCCCAAGACCTTGACTTGTCGAACTCTCAGTGTATTTTCTGGGCCCTTTAATTCAATTTTGATGATGTGATTATCCCCTCCTGGAAGTTCACTTGTTACCCAACCAATGTGCCTGGAATCCAGATCAACCTGGCAGAGTAGAAAAGAGACAGAAATCTGATACAGCTCTATCACTATTTTATCACTGTTCTAAACTTAGCACTCATAACAGCAAGCTCAAATAACAAATAATTGCACAGAGAGTAAAGTTTACTAGGTAATTTCACACTGATTATCTCATTTTAACTTGGTGAGGATAAATAATATTATATAAGCTATTAAACAGATGAAGAAAATGAGGTTAATACAGGTTGAAGGATGCAGGTCTGACTACTATATGCTTCCAAGCACCAGTTACAAAAGTGAAACCCTTACAAACAATTTATGTGAACAATTTATGTGTACTTTATCTACACTGACTATAAGTACACTCACCAGATTAGCGATGAGGTTCTGTTTTGTGCATCTTTACGTAAAGTACCAGTTAAGATAATCATTTTTGATGTATAGTTACTTAATATGTTTTATCTTGTAGAAAAATTATGTAATATGTAACTTCGTATTTGTGAATCCCTATTTTGCTGTATTTCATTGAGAACAAAACTTTTTTCAAAGATTATATTTCAATGTAATATACATTTGATAAAATGAAAATTGTTCTTATAGCATTTGATGTTCAAGAAATGATCCAAGATGTCTATATCATTTATATAGACATCTAAATTGATATTATTTTAATTGATGTTAAATTTCTAAAAAGACTATTAAGCATAAACACTATCTCACTGAAAAAGATTGTTTAACAATTTAAACAAAATTTGTTTAATTCAAAAATCACAATTCATTCTTCAATAAGATTTGAAAAAAAACCCAAAAAACAAAACAAATAAGTAGTCGATACTGATGAGACAAAGTAGCTACAGAAGAACAGTTCTGATAAAGTTTCATTAACACAGGTGAATTATACAGAATCTCAGAACATGCCCACATAGAATCTAACTTGTTTCTGGAGCTGGTCTGTGAATTGACTTGTAATCTGGATGTTTGTTGCAGGACTGTAAGTGATAGATTTTTAGGCGAGAGGACATTTTAACCTGAAGTGTAGGTGAATTAAGGTGTTAATTATTAACTGGATCTGTGATAAATTTTAAGGCATCTTGAATCCTTGTAGGGAAGCAGGAGGCAAGGTGGAGGGCTGTAGGCACAGAATAACTGCTCACGGCTAGAGAACATTTAGGGCCATTAACGGGGAAGATGTTTAACACAGGATGGTTGTAACTGTTCCTGTATAAGGGCCACCTGTCAATTGAGTATTTTTTAACTAGATGATTTCCTATAATACTTTGGTAGCATGCCAAAATTAGAACTCAACAGTGGAGACTGAGAAGAAGAAATTTCTCCCTAGGTAACAAAACATTCAATGACAAAATTTTAATTACCTGCTTTATTCTGCACAAATCTTCTACTGCTTTGCCAGTTAAGAAGGTCATCGAGGTAACTTTATTCTAAAAGAGACAATTTAAAGTAGTTATTATACCATACTTCTGTTCTAGAACTTAAAATGTTTTTTTACAGCCTATGAAGATTACATCAACCTTCTGCCTGTCTTTAATAGTCCTTTCTGACTGATCTCACTCCGTCTGCCTAACCAACCACAGTACCTACAACTCTACGCATATTCTCACAAACTCTATTTCAGCCTTTCTTCATGGGCTCTGAGGGAGCAGCCTGGCACTCTCACTTTTCATCTAAAGTCTAAACATTCAAATTCTCTGTCATAAAGTCTTTCAGAAACTTACTCTACTTGTTCCTCATGTCCCACTCTCATTGCTATATTCTCATTGCTTTGGAAGTAAAAGGAAGGAAAGTAGTTAGCTTAATAAACAAATGTCACAAAGCACCCAGACTGGACTCAGAGAAGGATATATGAGACTGATGAGTTCAAGTCCTTCGAGATCCCTGACAAACTAGGGAAGAAATATTAACACACAAAGGAAATATCAAAAAGTAGAAGTTCAATACTTTTAAGGACTGAAAAGAGTCATGCTAATACTGGAGCCATAGACCTTAAGGCTGAGTAAGTTTTATGCAAAGTCCATGAAGAAATAGATCAACATTAATTCCTTGGAGAGCTTCATACTTTAAGTGCTATAAGCTGATGAAATTCAAATCAACAAATGCTGTCTATAAGGTACCGTGACAAGCAGGCTGGGGGACACAGAAGTACATAAGACTCAACGATGCATTATAGCTTAGAAAAAATTTCCTAAAAGGAAAGCAGATCTCAGTTTACATACCGAAACTTTTAAAAATCAATATTGTTATGATTATTTCTCTAAGAGGCAAAATTTTCATATTAATTAGAATCATTATTCTGAGGAAGAGCATGTCCTGGTTTAAACGTACCATGAATCAAAGATAACTTTGTACTGAGCAGAGCAGTGAGTTCTAGCCAGAAAAATGTTTTGATTTATTACACTCGACTTTCTGGTAAAATATCTGTACCAACTGATACTCTTGGTTATGAGGAGAAGATAATAAACTCATGATATATTAGCTAAGCCCCTTTTTCTTATTCGACACCAGGGCAGAACTGAATCTGCACTGATGAACAGGATTTGGGGGTGGCTATGGATGGCAAGGAGCACTCTGCAGACTGGACTTCTGTGGTCACATTCCGTCCAGGTTATCTGGGATCCAACCCCACCTGTATGACTCTTCCTGGGAAAGGAAATATGTGAATGGGATGGCAACAACTTGGCAAAAGTCCAAAGGGATCTATTCATACTATATCTGCTAGCAAGCCACATCCATTCTGAGGGAAAAAATTCCATGAAGTATCCTTCCCTAATGGGGGTGGAAGCATGGAGGTTTGACATTGGTGCTTTCTTCCTGGTTCTTAATACTTTAATAGGACTCTTTTTCTTTTGTTTAGTGTTATTTAAAACAGTGCTTAATTCATTTGAAATGTGGATAGGCTAGGGCTAGGAGAATATAAACTATGATTACCTAGGTTAGTTGAGAAAGTCCCCTATGATGGCTGAAGGTGAGGATTAGAAACTGAAAGCTAATTATAGTATAGATCAAAGTGTATTAATTGCCATCAAAGTAATATAAAAAAGAGCCCAGAGAAGGGAA